AGTAGCGATGCACTTGTTCCTAGTAGCATCCTTGTTCCTAGTAGCGATGCCAGGAGCCCCGATCGTAGCGTCCGTGCTCCGTTCGTAGCGATGCCCTTTGCTCCTAGTACGTCCTCTACTCCCCCCCGCCCGTGCCATCCCGTGCCCCGATCTTTGGGGTTTCAGGATGCTGCCGATCTTGCATCCGAGCCGAGCACCAGCAGCCGCTACCGAGCTCAAGGAGATGGAAAAGGCAGGACAGATGGAGATCGAAAGGGTGGAGGGTGATGTCGAAGTGAGTGAAACTGAGGACTTTGATGAACTTTGATGTGAATCAAAGTGAAGCATTTGATCTCACAGCCGGATCTTCAGACGACACCTGCCACGATGCCGACAGGAGCTGAACTGCCAACTCCTCGGCTCACCAAGCGCCGCTTAAAAGCCACGCAGGTGCAGGACGGCGTTGTCTCTTCTCACGTGAAACATGCTGGAACAAGTGATGAAAAGAGAAACACCACCTATCAAAATCAGTTCAAAACCCTGCAAGCATGGCTGAATGTTCAAAAACAAGGTTCCAGGTGTCTTGAGCTACGCTGCTTTGAACGATGCTTTGTGTGCCAAGTTCACCCAGGCAGACATGATTTGGAGGAAATACTATATTCCTGCTTCCCGTCGCTCAGACTTCAGAGCGTTGAGTCTGTATCAAACGTCGGGTCAAACGTTTGGCCCTTTGGTCCTCTATTCCCTCAGGTGGGCTTTGTTCCATCTCGAATTTCAGGCCTCCCGGAGCTTCTGGCGCAGCGAGAAGAGCAGCACACAAAGTTTAAGGACTCCCCAGGGTGAGAAATCTGCGGTTTGCATTGTGAAAACTCTTGTAGCACGGTTTAGCTTGTGGTTGGCAACTCGAAAGATGTGGTGGATTTAGGACTTTACTTTGGTCAATTTGAGCTGCTGCCGCTGCTGGGATTTGATTGCATTAGGAGCTGCAGAGCAAGAGCACTGAAGCCAAGAATAAATGGCACAGAGCCTTCGACTTCATGTGGCTTGGACCTAGATGACCATGGCAAGATGTTCACTAGGTTGAAGCATGAACTAATTAATGGAAACGTGCAGTTTGTGTACTGTATAAATATGCATATATATATATATATATTGTGATTGGGGTAGCAATCACACTGGTATCGGGTCTCTCTCAACAAGCTCAACAACAAGCCGCTTCCCAAGCAGCGCAGTCCAAAGCTCTTCCTGTTTTTCCACCAAATCCAAGCTGCAGCATGTCCTCGTGCTCTGGTGCGTACCCTGACGTCGAACCAAGGCCGGATGGCTGTGTGCCCACCCTCCCACCGCTAGGACCCGGTCCTCGTGCCTAAATCGGCCTTGCGGTGAGAGCAAACCTGACAGAGCTGGTGAGGATCCTGCGAACGGTGCTGGTCCTAAAAACAAGTGTGCATTCACACTCCCAAAATTTTCTCTATCTCTGAGAAAATTGTGAATAACACTGGTTCGGCACCTTCGCTCTGTGGATCTACTTTTCTTTTGAGCCACTTGATCCTATCTCTGGCTGAAGCTCTGGCGTTTAAGATCGATTGCTCATCAGACAACTGATAGTGGCCATGCTGGAGCGTTTCTCTTAAAAAGGAGGCCTTCATCTGTTTGGTCAAGGCGTCAGCCAGTTGGGCGCCACTGGCAACCCATCGAAGACGAATGCCTTCGGACAACAAATCCTTTATTGCACGTGCTTGGAGTTGGGTGCGGAATTCTGTGCAGCTATAGGGGTGGCCGTACGCGTGGTCAGGTCAATTCAAGGTTTCTTCTGCCCGTTTCCAGTTGTCAGATGGCCAGTCCCAAAATAGCCTTAGCCAAGAAACTTGATCAAGAACGGATGACAGGGACATCGTCTTTGCTGCCAGTGTGCTGGTGACAACCTTTTGTATCTTTCTGCATCGCCATGAGATGGGACTGATTGGGCAGCTGAGGTTTTGATCAATGTTCTGATGTGTTCCCAAGATGATGGACCCAGCATGTGAATCTGGCTTATTGCGCGGTGAGAAGGATGCATCTGAGAATGCTAGAAACCTGAATTGCTCTATTGGGATCGGTTGGATTACCACACTTACTTTCTTATGCCTTTTTGCCTCATGAAGGACCTTGTTGGCTTCACACAACGTATCCACTGTTGCCTTATTGATAGATGACTGTAGGAAGCTCAACTTGGACGAAAGACCGGGTCTGGTGTTGATGGCACTGGCGAGACTTGTATTGCTGGAATCTTCGAGACATAGCTTTCCTGTGACAGTACGATCCCTTGGTCTGCCCGTTGTTGTAAGTCTATCCCCGTAAAGGTGAACGAACGGCTACGCCGAGAACCAAAAGGAAATCGTTTCTCCAGTTTGGCAATTGTCTCCAGGAATCGGGGGCTTCCTCCACCTATGCCATCATCAACGCGTATACCTAATATTCCTTCGGGACACCCAGTATTGGGATCCTTTACAACGAACAGGCATGGGTCGAAGGGATTTTGGGTATCTTTGGGTGAAGTTCAATTCGGTTAACACTTGGAGTAAAGCACAGAACCATTGGTAAGGGGCGTCTATCAACCCATATGCCCCCTTTTCGAGTTTAAGTACTTCTGGGTCTTGGAGCTTCATGTATTTCTTGAATTCTTCTGGAGGCTCAATGGCTAGAGTGCGATTAGATTGGGGCTTCCCTGAAGGAATGCAGCTTTGATGTCAAAGCTGATCAAATCCCACCCATTGCTTGCCACTGTTTGGAGTAGCAACATTCGAGACGTCTTGTTCAGCGTGGGACTGTCCCGTGGGACTTCGGTCAATTGCGGGTCCAAGTATCCGAGGGTTACGAGGCGAGCCTTAGGCTTGCACTCTCTACCCTGTGCTTTTGCGTCAGTAGGATCTAGGGGTTTACGCGTCAAAATCCACCTACACCTTAAGACTTGGTCAGCAGGGATCTGGTCACGAAGGATCCGCGAGACCGTTCCGGTCTTCAACCAATTGCTTATCTCGCCCTCCTGGGCAGCTTCAAATTGGCACCTCTCATCTGGATGGAGCGAGGACAATCGTACTTCTGCTCGCTGCTTCTTACCCGTTGTAGCCAGCAGCAGCCAGTTTGACCCTGTGTCCATGGCTCCGGATTGGAATTGTTGGTTCATGTCGAATTCGACTCGCCAGCACATATCGGGATCATCAATGGAGGCAGTGAGCTGGTTGGCAAAGTCATATTATCATCTATAGTACTGGGGGCAGTTAGGGAACCTTCCACTTCGGGAGGATGTACTACATGTTCTGGGCCCTCAGCAGGTGTTTCCTGTCGGCTATAGGCATTTCGGATGGGACTGTCGGCTCATGATCGGGCTGTGTCATGGGACTCGATGACGAATCTTGCGGTTCGATTGGGGTCTCATGCATGTCTGGAACCTCGTTTGTCGGCGTTTCTATTTGTTCAGGCACAGTGTCAGCTGGCACTTCTGCTGCAGGTGCCATGCGAATAGACGAGACATTTCTGTTTCGATGTCTTCCGTCTCTGCTGGAACAAGAGCGGCCTCTTCATTTGAGACAGGTCGAACATTCTCGGGAGCACTTCGGAACAGTTTTCCCGCTACTGTGGACCAGATCGTATGTTGATCTGCATGAATGACAACCCTTTGAGGACCCGTCCGTGCACCTTGCCCTTGTATCGTTCTCCAAATCATGACCGAGGAACCTTGGGGGTAGTTTCCCCTATGAGGACAGGGTCTTCTCAGCAAGGCTCTTCGAAGGGCTGCATCGTTATCGGCTTGATGAAATGCTACCCTGGCTTGTTCCCAGCAACGGAGCATGTCCCGAAACTGGTGAGTTTGGATGTCACTTCCCTCTTGCCATGTGTGGGATGGTATACTATGATCACTTAACACCGATCCTGGAACTCTTGGGGGTTTCCCAAATACCAACATTTCAGGAGAATACCCTCTATGCAGTGCGTTTTTTGACGATGTGCATTGTCCCAAACAGCGTTCAAGCTCAGAGCGAGTGGTGATGGATTCTTGGAGGTCCATTCGGGTGAGCATCTGTTGCAGGAAGGATCCATGTCGTTCGGATCGACCATTCTGCCACGAGGCATTGGGAGCAGTTGTGATCGCGCGAATGCCAAAACGTTCAAAGAACTTCATGCTTTCTTCACTATTGAACTCAGTAGCTGAGTCAAATGTGATTAGGTCTGGTGCTCCTGCCCATTGAACCCAGTGTTTCTATGAATTGGCTTGAACTTCTTTGGACTAGAGAATGCCACATGGTAGTTGGTTCCGAGATCAAGGATGTGGTAGAAGTGGTACTCTTGTCCCTGATGTCCTTTCCATTTGTGTTAGAGCTTTTTTTAAAAAATAGCGCAAAAAAAACGGCGGCGTTTTCCACAAACGCCAGCGCCCAACCCTAACCCAAAACCCTACCCAAAAACGCCGCCGTGTGCGCATGTTTGTTCTTGAGCCTTGCATACGATAGCAGCATAGAGTGCATAGAGTCTCTGAGCTGTTGGCTGCAGGTCTGTGCAGTCTATGTAGAACGGCTATGCCCAGAGTGTTATATACAAACGACACCGCCAGGGTGTGGAAGTTGTCGTTTGTTGACACAGTTGTCCCTTGTACAACTGTGGATCCTAACGGTAGTCAAAGTTTGATTGGAACATTCTTGCTTGGAGGACCCGCATGTGTTCGACAATAGGAACGGCGTTCCCCGTGAGACGACCGATACGAGCAGTTTCAATGGGCCGATCGGGATGACTAGAGCCTGCATGGTTGCTCTGTAGTGCGCCTTGGTCGCCAAATCGAAACATCACTTGATGGGAACATCGAGTAACCTTCTTCCGAATGTCTGGCTCGTCTGGCTCAAGTCCCTCCAGCAGGGATGCGATGTGATCGGCTCCAATGACTGTCTTCGTTGCTCCAAGATCCAAAATGCCAAACGTGGAGTGGGAAGCAAAATGTCTTGGACATGGCTTGAACTCACTTCATGATGCGTCTTTGGCTGTGTCTGGAGCAGTGTCGGTGCTTCAAATTTCCTACGAAGTATCGCTCTGGCTTGTGGAAATGCGGGACTCCTGTGGCTCACTATCACTAGAAATCCTGGCAGTCGCTGTGGCATGGTTGGTTGGTGGCATCCTATCAAAACCCCTCATGTGATTCAAACTGCGTTTCTTGAGAATCGAGAGGGTATCCCAAAATCAACCCCAAACATGGTCGTGGCTGTGCTGTGAAAACACTCATGATTCGAGCAGTCCTCTTCATCGATGGTGGGTGCATTCATAAGGTGCTCGGGCAGTTCCAAGAACTCCAGAGGGAGGCCTGAGTCAGCGGTTGCTGTGAAGGCCTCGGTCATCGATGTTGGTGGTGTGGCGCTGGCCGTTAAGAACCAGAATGGGACGATGGGGCATTGGTGCGGTACGGACACTCCGCCTTCCAATGACCCTTCCGCCCACATGCTCTGCAGTTGGATGTCATGATTCTCTCCTGCAGTGATTTCCGGCTCGATGCACCTTTTCCAGCATTCCATTGGCCTTGAGGTCGACCTCGAAAAGATTTTCCCTTTCCTTTTGTGCCCCCCTTTGTTGGACACAGGCCAGAAACCTGTTGCGGAATTTCTCACCCAGCTTTCGCCTTGCCTCGACATACGAATTGTATGCCAAAGCCAGTTCACCATCCGATTGGATGACCTCTTCAGCAGCGGCCTCGAAGTCAAGGATGAGTGCAGCTTCGTCATGGCCTTCGGAGGCGAGGGACTGGATGTAATCGTCCTCAGTTTGGTCATCGCCAACGAAGGCTTCGTCGATGGTTTCCTCATCGTCCCCTGGATTGTCAGCTGCTATCATGGCAGTGGCATCGTATACCTTGCGGGCGGTCTTCTTCTGTGTGGCAAGGTCCTGGAAAAAGGTGGGCGAAAGCGTGGAGCCGCGCAGCAAAACATAAGCCTGCAGGTCATCCAGGCTGGGCTTCTTGGCAAGAAGCTTGCTGCACAGGATGTCAGGTACGAGTCATTTGACTCGTCGCTGCGCTGCGCACAGTTGAAGAGCGCGTCCTCAGCTTCCTGATAACGCTCTTCCAGTCCAACTCGGCCCCAATGGCCTCCCAGCAACTCGATCACGCGTTTGATCGCCTTCAAATCGTCGTCCTGCGGCAGCTCCTTTTGGTGAAGTTGGAGCTTTGCAAACGCACTGCCTTTTGAGTTCAGGATCAGCCTTGCTGTCAACTCAGATATCTTGGCCTTTGGCCATATGGAGGCAAGTAATTCGACCTTTTGTTGATAGGTCTGCAAGTCATCAACTCCTGGAGTGAAGCTTGGAACCAACGAGTGGGGTTGATTCCCCACTGAGGTGGAGCTTCCTTCGGCTCCCGCCATGGTGTTTCACACCTGTACAATGCACAATGAACGACAAGCAAAATTGTGGACAACCAATGTACGCAGCACTTGGTCAATGTACCAATGTAGCAATGCAGCAACTTACCCACACGACCCTGCAAGTCTTGTCCAGTGCCCCGACCGGAATTCAAGCTCACCACAATGTAGGCAATGTACAATGCTCAATGTACAACACGCAAGTCAACGCAACCGACCAAGCCGACCAGCGAATGCAAGATCAACTGGGCTCAACCAAAGGTGTCCTCCTGGATGCTCTCGATCACACAGCAACTATAGCAAGTTTCCCCTCAAGCTCAGCTGTCAACGATCGAGAGCTCCGCTACCAATGTGATTGGGGTAGCAATCACACTGGTATCGGGTCTCTCTCAACAAGCTCAACAACAAGCCGCTTCCCATCCAAAGCTCTTCCTGTTTTTCCACCAAATCCAAGCTGCAGCACGTCCTCGTGCTCTGGTGCGTACCCTGACGTCGAACCAAGGCCGGATGGCTGTGTGCCCACCCTCCCACCGCTAGGACCCGGTCCTCGTGCCTAAATCGGCCTTGCGGTGAGAGCAAACCTGACAGAGCTGGTGAGGATCCTGCGAACGGTGCTGGTCCTAAAAACAAGTGTGCATTCACAATATATGTATATATATATATATGCGATATATATATATATACACATATGTGTCATGTGTGTTTGTGTTTGCCTCACGTCAAAGGAGGTGACTTTACACAAATCGCACCTGTTGTGTTTGTTCAACCGGTGTGTGCCCTGCGAGCAGATCAATCGAAACGATAGAAAGCAGAGGCAACAACATATTTGAGAGAGTGTCGAGACCAGACTTAGCTAGTCCCAAACTTTGCTCAATCCCAAGGATGGAAGGCAATGATGTTGATCGTGCCCTTCGCAATGTACGCGACATTTCCAGCAAGATTCGACAATACATGTGACTCGACATACGATTTAAGCACTCACATCAATCGCCGTGATATTTGTGGCCAAGTTGTGCAATGGCACATTTGAAAGTCACTGATAGCGCTGCTAGCTGCTACAATATCCACAATCCTTGCAACAAACTTCGGAGGGCAAACTGCTAAGCTGCTAAGGTTCTTTGGTGAAAGTGAAAACGCTGTCCTGAAGCTGCAGAGCACGTGGGGCAACACAGTGCTACGGAACAGCTGCTTGAACTGTTTCGCCTTGGTATTGGCCAAGGTTAGCTCAGTACCACCGTACTTGGGATCAAAAGCGCTATGGCAGACTGACAGCAGGCCTCAGTGATATCGCAAGGCCTGAAAATCCTGGCATTCCTAGCTTCTACTCGGAGTCAAATCATGCGAAATTCTGTGGTCAAGGGCTGATACTTTGCACCGGGACGAGGTATGACACCCCGAAAATGAAATAAACAAGGCTTCATTGAACTAGCAGGTGTACAGTGCGTCATTCTGCAGGCTGGCCTATCCAATCGAACAATTGATCGACACACGCACCTTTGAGTGCCATGAAATTGTGCAGCAAGAGCTGAGTGTGGCAATTCAGAATGATCCTGGGCAGACTCCAGCAGGGAGATGACAGCTCATTCGACCAAACGAGTTAGATTGGATTCCAAAAAATTCCATAGGTGATAGACATCCTGGATGTTCATTTATGAGACATCAATGAACAAATGTTAAGATGCTGTCAGACCGGCATGAAAGGGCTCCATAAATCAATCAAACAAACGATGCCCACGGCAGGGCTCGAGCCGATCACTGGTGTCTCAGGAACTGACTCGTCGCGCTGAACCCATGGAGCTGCAGCGTATGGATCGTGAGACGGAGACTCGACACGCTGCGACACGTCGCACCGTGACGTGTTTCGCGCGTCGCACGTGTCGGCGCTGGGTGTTTTCGCTGCTGAGCCGATTCATGTTCGCTGTCAGAATGCCCCTGCTCGAGGACAACGTTCTGCAGCAATCCGAGGCCAGCGAAAGTCCATGCTGCAGACACAGGGCAACAGCATGAAACAGCACAATTTTGAAGGTATGGCAATGAGGAGAGTCCATATCCGCTTCAGGTTGCCAGGTCGAGCATCAACAGGAAATTGGATGATTTGCGGCAACTTGGTCAGTTCAGCTTACCGTAACCCGAACAGCTCGCTTGAATTGCTGTCCGATGGCTCTGAGGCATTCGATCCAGCGGACAGCAAGGGACGCAGGCGCTTTCATACAGCGTGTCAAGATGACCTTGCAGTCGCTTGGCACATGACTCCACAGATGGAGCGGTTACTCCGGTCACTGCCTGTCAAAGCCGACCGGAAAACGCACGACAGGAACTCCCTATTACTTTAATGAGATATGAGATACTATGAGATTATATGAGATTGATACCAGCTGGAAAGTGTTTGGCAGCATCCATTTATACAATCAGATGTCCAGTGTTCGCACAGCGGTTCTTTCGCCAAGGCAAGTGCTGGCTGACATCAATGAGTTCACCACGGCGCATGCCAACATGAAGCTGCTCAGAAGTAATGGGATGGAGCAGTGACATAGGGTACAGACATGCCAAATGCGTAAAGAAACTTGGAACTGATGACATTGAATGCCTCAAGGGGCCCGAGGGACCCAGGACGAGGGTACATTCGTGAGAAGACGAGATGCGTTCAGGAAGGCGGAGAAAGATTACAAGGCAGACATGTTTGACCAACAGCGGCGGAACGATGGCTACAAGGAATCACTTGAGAAGCTCGAAGCTCGCAGATGCTTGGACTGTTACGATCAAGCTAGGACCTTATAGATCTCAAAAAGGCACTGGCCGGCCCAAAAAAAAGCGACCAAAGCGCAATGTGGTTCGTTCTTCGATGCCTCGAGGAAAGCTAGCAGAAGCAAGGTTGCAGGCTGATCTGGAAACCTTGCGCTCTGAGCATACCATTCTCCGACGCACCCTGGAAACCCTCATCAAGATGCATGAGGCTGGGCCCGGGCCAACGCAGAAATGCTTGATATCGCTGATAGATGTGTATAGGCATGTTGCTATTTTTGGCTAGGATGGGCTAAAACCTGACCTGATGAAGGGCTTGAACATTCTTGTTAGTAACGCCGTTGGTGGGTATTAGAGGTGGCCGTATCGCTGGTGCCAGGAAAGCCGAACCAGGGCGACCGAGATCGCCAGCTGGTTACAAGTACTTGCTGGTCAGAGATTGGAGAGGCTCCGTGGCTAAGCCTGGCCAAGCCTGCCTGGCTGAATGCCAGCTTGGAAATGCTTTTAGACATGTGTATGATGTCTATGTTGTATGCTGTATGCGCGTGGGAAGTGCCAGATCCAGATCATAGATGAGAATCATGTCAAGTGGTTTGCCATGACACCAGCATGTTGCCTTTTCATGGCAACCTCCAGGCCATATCTATACTACCAGTGAGAAAAAAGAAACGTATGCCATCTATACATATCTACACTGAACAAAAGTGCCTTACTAGTAGTAACAAGTGCCTCACTAGTAGTAACAAGAAGCTATTAGGAACAAGTGCCTTACTAGTAGTAACAGGTGCCTTACTAGTAGTAACAAGAAGCTATTAGGAACAAGTGCCTTACTAGTAGTAACAGGTGCCTTACTAGTAGTAACAAGAAGCTATTAGGAACAAGCCTCTTACTAGTAGTAACAGGTGCCTTACTACCGTAGATGGACGAAATATTCAAACCCTTTCAACCACGAGGACCC